TGCTCAGCGTAAAATTCTGCGTCGATTTAGACATGTCCGTCTGTCCGTCCGTCCGTCCGTCCGTCCGTCCGTCCGTCCGATCGCACGATAACTCAAAAACGAATAATGCAATCGACACCAAACTTTCACAAGTTTTTTCTTTTGTGCCAAGGACGAGCCCTATTGTTATTGGACTTATTCGGACAACGGGTTCGGGTAGCTGCCATACGACTCCAAGAGTTTATTTCAAATATTTTAAAAACTAATAAAGGTATAAATACTAAATTTTGTATACATGTGTCCAATTATATTCTACATATGCTCTAAAAATTATAATGGGATAGCTGCACCGGTTCGGGTGGCTGCCATACAACTCCAACAGCAAATTTTTTATATTTGGAAAACTAATAAAGTCAGATTCATGAAACTTGGCAGTCATGTGTCCAATTATAGGTCAAATATATTTCTGAAGTTTTAGAAAAATTGCTTGACAGGTTCGGGTACCTGACATACAACTCCAGAAGCTAATTTTAAATATTTGGAAAAGTAATATAGTCAGATACATAAAACTTGGCAGTTGTGTGTCGAGTTATAGGCCAGATATATTTCTGAAGTTTTGGTTAAATTGCTTTTCAGGTTCGAGTAGCTCTCATACAAGTCTAAAAGCTTATTTTAAATATTTGGAAAAATAATAAAGTCAGATTCATGAGCTTTTGCAGTCGTGTGTCCAATTATCTGTCAGACATATTTCTGAAGTTTTGATGGAATTGCTTGACAGGATCGGGTACTTGCCATACAGCTCCAAAAGCTTATTTTAAATATTTTGAAAAATAGTAAAGTCAGATTCATGAAACTTGGCAGTTGTGTGTCGAGTTATAGGTCAGATATATTTGTGAAGTTTTGATAGAATTGTTTGACAGGTTCAGATACGTGCCATACAACTCCAAAAGCTAATTTTAAATATTTGGAAAAATTATAAAGTCAGATTCATGAAACTTGGTAGTCGGATGTCCAATTATAGGTCAGACATATCCGTCAAGTTGTTTCTATAAACTGATTTCACAGGTTCGAGTAATTGCTATACAACAACGAAAGGTGCAGGGTATAATTCAATCGGTTTATACCGACTGAAACGTTTTTACTTGTTTTAAGTTTATTTTAAGAAACTTGATGAATCAATTGATCCCCAATTGTCTTTATTTGAAACTAATTTAAATAACCTTTTTTATTTTATGCAATGCGGCCGGTAAAAATTGATTGTAAAATTATTTCCAAGTACTTTGTACACTTGATTAATTTATACATACTTTACGTCATGAAGTGGAAAACACTCTCGTTTATAAAATTAAATGTTGAACTAACTAAATTACTAATTTTTTTTTTTTTGAATATATTAGAACGGAATTATTTTATATGCGATAATAATTGACAGTCAAATTAAAGGAGGCGTTTTTAAAAACTTGTTTATGTTCTAAAACCTTTGCTATTTTTATGACATTATTAACACGAATTATTATTGAATTTTATATGCTTTAGAGATGCAATATAAAAGTCGAATAAATCAAAGCTTGTGTGGCAATTTTTACTGCTTTTCATACAATTTTCAATTTAAATTTATTCATTCTTTTTTTTATTTTAGCATTTTCCATATTGATTATGTCCTCTTAATACTTGAATAATAAAAAATTATAAATAATTTTATTAAACCACTTAAAATCAAGGTTTTAAAACTATTTTTAAGAAAAACTTAATTAACAGCTAAAAAAAACTCTAGATATTTAAAATATTAAAACTGTAAGTTACTTCAACTACAACATAATTTCATAAATTAACAATAACTAAATCTAAAATTTTAGAAAAAACTCTAAGTTCACATAAGGCAATGAAGTTTTCATCGTGATCATAACACGAGACAAGAAATACTAAAAAAAAAAAATTGGAAAAATAAACCATAAAAAATTTATTCAAAAGCAATTGGCTATCGATTCGCCACACTTCAATCGCTATGCCGTATAATCGTTTCAAATAAAGTGAAATATTCAGAAGAATTTTTTATTATTTACCAGCGATAGTAGGATTATCCGGGGGAAAATTTTATTTTGCCTTTAGTTTTGTAAGATTACAAATTTAAGACCTTGTTGTCATTTGATTTTCGTACAAACTTTCATATATTTTGTGGTTCAAACTAAATTGGGGACCCTAGCTTTAGTCTAAGAATTTGTTTATATTAAAAATTTAGTTCGACTTTTAATAAATAACGCGAACAAATATTTTAAAAATGTGAAGAGAAAATAGGATACTTAGTAGCAATACAATTCAAATGTAAGCACCATCATGGTCATTAGATTCGAAAGTATGGTATGGGAATTTTCAGCTCATATCAAACAATATCAATTTCAACTTAACATAGAGTAAAACTTAAAGTATAGATCGTAGATTAGTAATTTAATTTACATATTTAAAATGACATTCAAATACAATTGAACTGCAAACTCTATCTGCCAGTGCAATTAAAAAGTACAACCGACTACATTATACACAACACTACATGTACTAAAATACTAAAGTAGTAAATACACAGTTTAGTATTCTTATTCATATGTTGTAACTTGTAGTAGAACATTTGAAAGCGTAATTGTAAACGGAATCATTAATTTTAGAATACATTTGTGAAATATTCACTATTATGTAGTGTACATAAAATTTTTTTATTAAAACATTTCCATCATAATTTTAATTTAAACAACCATACTAACATTAATTTAGACATAGTCGACAACATATAAAGCCGATGAGTCTTCTTTAAGTCACTCGATAATAAAAATGTTATTTGTAAAACAAGAAAAACAAACGCGGTAGCCATAAAAACAAAAAAAAACATCACTTTTTTTTTCTATTTCATTAAACAGCAACTTATTCCTATATAGAATAAAACTAGTTTGCAATTGAAAGTGAAAAGTTTAATTTTAAGCGCCATGGGTGAACATGAGCATTAGATACGTACGCTATATTGTGTTATGAAAATTTCAAGCGAAATAAAAAAATTGTCGAAAGAATGCGATAAATGAATGTAAACTTGACACGTTGGTTATAGTTATGTTGGTTAGTTTGTTGTTTTTTTATTCTTTTGCCTCTTTTTTTATCTGTTCATGTCTAACTGATTGTGTATGGCACAAACAAGCAATGAAAATTATGAAAAGATTACTTGTTTACAAATTACAAAGTTACAGATTGTAACTATCTTCAAAAACAGTGATGATATGACATATGGTAATATAACTATGACTAACTGAATGGAACGTCAAGCTTGCATGGTTATTACTCAAAAATATGCTGGTTTTTCATTTTCTGTTTTTTAGTTTTTTATTACAATATTTTAGTGGACCGATGTCGTAATCCAAAGAAATGCGCTAAAATTAAAAAAAAAAAAAAAATGGAGAAGCAAATGAAGGTAAAAGTTGTTTTATTATGAGATTTTATCAAGTTCATGTGATGAGTAAACCAGTCAGTCATTCAAAAATTTTTATAATAATTTTTTTTTTTTTGAACAAAAAATTTCCTTTATCGTATTAGACGCTTTTCATCTTATTTACTAATACACAATTATTTATGCATGCATGTGTGTTTATTATGTGCCTGTGTTATTAAAATGGTCATTTTTCCAGCATGAAATTTTTTTTTTGGAAGAAAATCGTGTCTATAAAGAAAAAAGAAAACTGAGGTTGAAAAATTAACAAATCATTTGCTTTGTTTTAATATCGTTAATATTAAAGATGATTACAATTTTGTAGATTTTTTAATATTCCGAAAAAAAATTAATATGAATAATTATATAGCTAGTAATTTTAATTTCTTTTAAAAATAATTGGCCGAAACTATCTGATAACAACTAATTAGAGGAATGGAATTTCTTTAAAGTCTAAGCTAAATGAAGAAAAATATTTTGACAGAATATGCGATTTGTGATTTAATTTCAATTTTGAAATAAGAGCTTTGCCTGGTTATGCATAATGCTTGCTTAAAATTACTAATTTACAAATTCTCAAATAGTTCTTTATAATTTTTAATTGAGTATATTTCCCCTTTGCGAAAGTAAATATGTTTGCGGTTGAAAACAGTATTAATATTGCAAAGGTTTTTGTGTCTAATTACATTTGTTTTTTGAAGAGAGGGAGCAGCACTAAAAGTTCTTGTTTACATTATATTCTGTTAGAAGACTGTAATGTGTATAGAAATACGTTCACCATAAATTTGGAAGTATGTAGTTTATTTGCTCTGATGTAAGAGAGCTAGTATTAAAATATAGGCAAAATTTTGTTAATTTATGTGAACAAAGTATGGAAAATCAAATGTTGCAACACTACCGCATTATGGAGAATTCCGCAAATTATATTTTCTGATTCACAACGCCAATAATATTCTATTACTTTCTTGTTATCTATTTTTCAATATAAATCATACAAAAACTACAATTAATATAGAAAAATATTTTGATTAATGCTACATTACTGCCACTGCAATTTATTATGTCTTGTTATACATTAATTATTTATTTATCTCTATTACAGCAACTATGTGAAAGGAAGTGATTCTCTCTTACTATTACAATTCTCTCTTACTATTACAATATTAGTGCTACATTGCTCATATTATACTACAAGTTTTTCTTTCTACCAACTCAACATAATCAGGTCAACACTCTAACAGAAGACCTGTTAATTCGGATATAAAATATATTTGTATAAAAATTTAATAATAATTGTATGTAATAAATAACTTTGACCGCTATTAGCAAATAACAACACTATCGCCATATTATTTAAATTGTATATTAAAGTTTTTTTTATTGATATTAATTGTATTTTAAATGTAAAATAAAAAATAATAGTATGAAATAATTTTCTTATGAAAAACAATATTTTCCTTTGCGATATTCATTATTTTAAATTATATGGCTCGAAGACAAATTATTAATCATAACTTATGTGTTGTATTATTATTATTTTTTTTTGTATTTTCAGATTAGCTGTCGTTTGCACGTTTTTCAGTAAAGAAATATACCACAAAAAAAAAAAACTGTGTAAAGAAAAAAATTTGCAACAACGATGCAATCTATTTTTGAATGGAAATTTTAATAAAAAATGAACTACCTGATGGCATTTACACTTTTCGTATCAATACAAAAAGGAATAACCATTAATTTTCTTCAACAATTTCCAACAATTTCTTCATCATCATCTTCAACAACATCCAATAAAAATGGTAATCAAATCGATAACAATCACCATCAGCGTGCAACAGGTATAATAAGACTTAACTGTAATGATCTATTTATAATCTCATTATCATAATTCTTAATATTTTTTACGTGAAAAATGGATTTTTTTTGTTATATTCAATTGTTTAATAATGTTAAGAAGTTTTATTTCATTTATATACAATTTATATTTTTAGTTTTTCAAGTATGAATGTGTAGATTTCTTTTATTTATGTATGTACTAGGTTTAATTTAAAACACAAAGTTTCCATCATCAAATATTTCAGTAGATTTAAGCAGATTTATGCAAAAAATAATATTTTTCAAAACAAACCCAATAAACAAAACGTAACCGGCGGTATTCATGTTAATTTTAATTAAAAACGTAAGTAGCCCAATATTGTTTACAAAAAATGTAAGAAATTCAATATTTTTATATAAAACGTAAATAACCCTATATTATTTACGTAAAATGTAAAAAATTCAATATTTTAATATAAAACGTAAATAACCCTATATTATTTACGTAAAATGTAAGAAATTCAATATTTTAATATAAAACGTAAATAACTCTATATTATTTACGTAAAATGTAAAAAATTCAATATTTTAATATAAAACGTAAATAACCCTATATTGTTTACGTAAAATATTTTTATATTTTACGTAAAGAACGTAAATAACCCTATATTTTTTACGTAAAATGTAAAAAATTCAATATTTTTATATAAAATGTAAGTAACCCAATATTTTTGACATAAAATGTAAAAAAAATTAATATTTTCATTAAAAACATAAAATTCTAAATATTTTCTAACGAAATCCGAACATGCGAGTATATTCAACCGAAATGAAATAAAATAAGCTGAAAATAGGACATAATAGTCAAAAGCTAAAAAGAAAAGAGAAAATCAAAACATAAACTAGCCAAAACTTCCCTAATTAGCAAAGAAACTATAGCAATGTCAAATTGTTAATATTTTACCGAACATTGTCCTTGGTCGTTTTGTGAAAACCCGATGCTTATAAACACAACTACTTTTCTCTGAAGTGGTCTTTGAACTTAACTCAGTTTTATTTGGAATTGTTTGTTGGAAAATTACGCCAATTATTTTTGATAAGACAAACTATATTTTAGTATGAAAAATTCCAGAAAATAATTTATGAAAATTTTAAATTATTCTAACGCAATATTTTATATAAAATCTTAAAACACAGCTTTGTAATAAAAGAACAGAGCCCAAACGGCGGAAAGATGAAATATTTGATAGTTTCTTATGACTTATAAATAACGATATTCATATTATACTTTACGATATCTACATGTATCTAGATGTTTTATCTCTATCTAGAAGTTTAAGTATAGCTTTGTCTCAAGTACAAGTTTATTGATGATAATTAGTCACTTAGTGTAAGAAATGTTATACAGATTCTAAATTTCAAAGAGTAATTGTAGTGTAACAGTCTACTTGTTAGTTAACGCCAGAGTTAGTAAGTTCCACCTAAGTAAGAAATACACATGACAAGTACAAGATCAATGAACTTTAATTCTGCACATATTTTCGAATTAAATTATTAATCGCCAATTATTTAGAACGTCTATAAATTATAACTGAATCAGACTAAATTTTCATTTTAATCCAAACTACTTTGAAATTTCAAATAAATTTACTTATATTGCATAACATAATCAATGCATTATTTTTCAAAAATAATCAAAAACTATAAAGAGATTTAAATCAATCTTAAAAAAAATTCAGATTCCTATATACTTATTTGATATCGCCGATCTTTAATCGAACAGAAAGTAAAAAAATTTTATAACACATTTTTTCAACACAACCTTCTTATACTGTCCGCACAGCTGTTAATGCAAGCACTAACATAAAATTTATAAAACAAATATTTTTTCAAAACAAAAAAAAAAACTTTCAATAAAGTAGCCTCCCATTAAATTTATTGAAAATATTAAATAAATTATAGCAATCTAACCATTAAATTTTTAATGGAAAGGTAAAAAATAAAATTTTTCTATTAGAGCACTTTTGGGTTCATGTTAGACAATATTTCTGTCCAATATATATAATGTAAATTTAATATTAATAAATTTTAAGTTTTAACTTTCACTGTTATAATTCAAAAAAAAAAATTTTGGAAATCAATTGAGTTGATCTTAGTTTAAGTGGCCAATAATAATAATTGACGATTGTATAAAAATTTCATTAAAATTTTAAAAACAATATTATTGAGTAGGTGTTATGTTTCAGTAGAGTAATTTAAAATTTTGATTTTTCAATTGATTTTTTGTTAAATTTAATATTAAATGATTCCATTCGTATTATATTGAAGCTCAATTTTAAGAGGTTATAGCACATTTCCAGAATTCAAATCAAGAACATCAAAATTTGATTCAATATTTTTTATATAAATTTCTTATATAAAACCACCTTCTCTATCCAGAAAAATTATTCACACAATATCTAAAACAAAAATTTTTTACCCTATTTTTCATATTTCATGGCTGTGTTCTTTTGATATTTTGTAATCCTTGTGCAATAATCAAATCAATGACCCTCATAATTACAACAAGTAAAATTAAACACAATTAATATTAATTTAATTGAAAAAAAAATATATATATACAAAATATTAAAAACATATTTATTATAATAGTATACTAAAATTACATACCATTATCGTAAATGATAGTTAAATCAAGTAATTTTATATCAGAATAATTTACAAAACCGCAATGATAATAAAATTATTTTGAGTACTCAGCAAATAACTTGTGGTATAATAAAATGATTTTAAATGCTTGTAACATAAAAACTTCAGTAATTCTTCAAAAGGATTAAAAAACCACAAATTTAATTAGTTTACAAAAATAAATTTAAATATGAAACATTATATATAAAAAGGATCATTTTGAAGCATTCTTTGAATATCTACCATAGTGCACACTCAATACATACGTACATGTCTCTATGTGTATATGATAAACGACGATAAAAGTAATTTTTATTACTTGTATTCAGGTGACAAAAATTTCAATTACCACACGGTTAGTAATTATTTGAATTGTAATATTAGTGCTGGGTTTCAAAAGCTTTCGCGCAAACAATGACTAAGTAATTGTTAAAACAATCTTACCAAAGAATTCATTAAAACAACAGGAAATAATCTTTTAACCATATTCTATTGTTTAAGGATTGTTAATATAATTAAAATGTAATTTTAAATTAATAATCAATTAATGAATATGTTAATATTATAAAGAGCTAAATGTAGCAATTTCAATTATCCCTAAAATTATTTAAGAATATTAAATTTTCTTGAAGTATAATTGCATATCGTCGGTTAAAAGGCAGAAAGCACTAAGTGCATTTTTTGAAAATTCGAATTATCCAGATGAATTAAATAAGAAAAATATATTTTTTGTTGTGGCAAAAAATCATGCAAATCCAGAATATAGTTTAGAAATTAAAGAGACCGATCCCCATTGCACTAATTGATTAATTTTACAATTTCACGATTTTTTCAAATTGAATTTACTCAAAACATGGTTTCCTGGTTTAATGCTTTCTGCTTCTTAACCGACGATATATTGTTTATTAAAAAATTTTCACTCAATACAAAATTTTGATTTATTATTCTTCAATTCTTGGAATTATTCTTCAATTCAATTAAGATCATGAGCTGAAAGAATGATAATATCTAAGAAGTCTATTAAACATGCTCTCACATTTACCAAAACCAGAGCGATTTAGAAAATTAAAATAATAGTTTGCCTAAAAATATGCAAAGAAAATATTCAAAAATTTGGAATAAGCAAAACAGAAAGAATTTTCATAGAAAATGATTGAAATTAAAGCGTTAAAAGAAAATCTTAACAAAATCTAGTCGCTTTGAAGTCCCTCAAATATTTTTTCATAAGGGCGAAACAAATTTATAACAAGTAAAAACGTTTCAGTCGGTCTGAATCGACTGAATTATTCCCTTTACCTTGGCAATATATAAAAATTTGTAAAAAGATTTCATAGCTGCATGGAAGTTACTTGAACCTGTCTAACTATTCCATAAAAACTTCATGGATTTGTCCGATCTATAATTGGGCACACAAATGCCAAGTTACATGGAAACTTTATTATTTTTCCGAATATTTAAAATTTGTTTTGGGAGTTGTATGGAAGCTACCCGAAACTGTTGGCCGAATTGATCCAACTACAACAAGAGTCCTTGGCTAAAAGAAAAAACACTTTGTGAAAGTTTGGTCGTATTTACTTTTTGAATTGTCCTGCTATCGAAGGACGGACGAAAATGTCTATACCGAGCAGATATTGCAGACGACTCATTCAAGTGGATCACAAAAGTGCAGTGTATGAAAACAACTCTAAAAGATTTGAAATTTATGATTGTAGTGAGGTTTTAACTTTTAAAACTAGAGAAACAAATAATATTCCGCTGCTTAGTATAGAACAATGTTCTTATGGCTCTGTAGTACTCCCACAATATTTCATTTTAAACACAATTATGCCAATAATTTTTTCCTCCTTAATTCAAATTGAAACATTCAGCCACATATCTACTACAAAAAAACCTAAATTCATCTTAAAACTCAATTGAAAAGCTTACACCAACAAATTATCAAAAATTGATTCAAATCTACCGTATTGTAGTTCAATTTAGAACATCCTTTGTTAATAGTAGAAATTTGATGGTTACACTTATTTATATGCACCTGTCCTTATACGTAAGCATATGTACACACAAACATCCATATTATACCTGAAATTCTTTCCTTTCAACACACAAAATTTTAAAATAAAAATTTCTATTCTATTTTTTTTTTATTTGGAAAAACCACCGTAATTGGAAATTTAAATCCAAATAAACCCTATGTCCTTTCTATTATATTGAACGTAGGTTAAGGAAACGTAAATATATGTATATATATATAAATAAAATTTCGACTTTTGAAGATTTCACATAGCGATTCAAATTGCAAATATTTTCCTCCATTTTCTTTTCACTATTTCAACGT